GGTTGGGGCGGGAGGAAGGGGCGGTCCCTTCCTGGGCCTGGCCCTGCCCCTCGTGGGGGGCTGGGACACGCGAGGGATCCAGCCCCGGCCAGGGAACCCCCATAGCCCGGAGGAGACTCGGGCTCTGGCAGCGAAGGGGGCAGGAGCTTCCCGTGGGGTGGGCGAAAGGGGGGAGCACATGCGAATCTGGTGCAATGTGTCGCTTTGCAGGGACCGGATTTCCCTGCCAACTATGGCTCCGGGCGTACGAGGGAGCTGTCACTGACTGAACTGCCTGCGGTCAGTTTGTCAGAAAGGAGGCTGATAAATACAGTCCTGGACGGCCAGGACCCGTGCAGCATGTGCTGTAAACCCTGCAGATTTCCCTGGCTACCTACAGTCACATCTTTGCATACATCCCAGCTATGCTATAGGAGCTATGAGGGAAGACTGAAAGAACTGGGCTTGTTTAGTTTAGAAAAGAGAAGACTGAGAGGGGACATGATAGTGGTTTTCAAGTATCTAAAAGGGTGCTATAAAGAGGAGGGAGAAAATTTGTTCTCCTTGGCCTCTGGGGCTAGGACAAGAAGCAATGGGCTTAAACTGCAGCAAGGAAGGTTTAGGTTAGACATGTCAGGGTGGTTAAACACTGGAATAAATTACATAAGGGGGATTGTGGAATCTCCATCACTGGAGATATTTCAGAGCAGGCTGGACAGACACCTGTCAGGGATGATCTAGACAGTCCTTGGTCCTGTCGTGAGGGCGGGGGACTGGACTCGATGACCTCTCAAGGTCCCTTCCAGTTCTAGTGTACAAGGATTCTATGATCCTATCCCAGAGAGCCCTGGTTTGTCCCCAAACTATTCATAGTGTTAACATCTTCCACCTGCCAATAAGACAATAAGCAGTGAGCTCCATTCCCTGGTTGGTTTAAGAGATTCCGGGTTTGCATTTTACTTGGCAAAACTGGCTTTGGAAATTATATTGTGCACCTGTAGGATGCTCACTTCTCTGTTGCTGGGACAGAGGTCTTGAATTGACACATAGCAGGGCCAAGCAGGAACAAACCCCTGGGTCACCAGCTGAGTTGCAGTGGGCATGGCTGGGCTCTGGGACCAAGTCCCCTGGGCTATGTCTATACCGGCAGCTTCTTGTGCAAGAACATATTGCGCAAGGCTTCTTGTGCAAGAAAACGTCCACACTGGAGCTGTGCTTTTGCGCAAGAGCGCCCATGGCATTGTGGATGCTCTCTTGCACAAGAAAATTCTGATGGCCATTTTAGCCATAGGGGTTTCTTGCACAAGAAATCCCTGCCAAGCATTCACACTGCCTTCTTGTGCAAGAGCTCCTGTGCAAGAGAGCTTACACCTGATACAAAAGAGCATAGCGCTTGCGGAAGAAGCCCTCTCTTACCATGCCGTACTGTACATTTCCTTGCTCAAGAGCGGGCGGGCAGTGTGGACGCGCTGCGGATTCTTGCACAAGGACGGCCGTACTTGAGCAAGAAGCTGCGACTATAGTCATAGCCCTAGTGGAGAGAGGATTTTCATGGGTAGTTTAGACTCTGTGTTCAGGGATCAGAACTGGAACATTGCTTGCATTTATATATCTTGCTTGTTTTCCATTTCCAATGTCATTTCTGATTTTGTGCTTGTTTACAATGGAGTTTCGGTTTTTGTATTGTTCTCTACCATGCTTAGATTCAATCTTTAATAAACACAAACACAAGCACCATTTAAACCATCCTTGACAGGTGTGTGTCTAGCCTGCTCTTAAAAACTCCAGTAACAGAGATTTCACAACCTCCTTGGACAATTTATTCCAGCACTTAACCACCCTGGCACCTAGGACACCTAAGAATGTCTAACCTAAACTTCCCTTGCTGCAGTTTAAGCCCATTGTTTCTTGTCCTATCCTTAGAGGTTAAGGAGAATAATTATTCTCCTTCTTCCTTGTCACAACCTTTTAGGCACTTGGAAGCTGTTATCGTGTTCCCTCTCAGTCTTCTCTTTTCCTGAACAAACTCAAGACACACCCTCAGTTCTTTCAATCTTCCCTGGCAGGTCTTGTTTTCTAGACTTTTCATCATTGTTGTTGCTCTTCTCTGGACCTTCTCCAATTTGTTCACATCTTCCCTAAAGAAAGAGTTCATTCTAACACACAGGAGAGGAAAAAGAGCTTTGAAATGTTTCCTGTTGATGAAGTGTGCAAAAACCACTTCTCAGCAGTTTTGTTCATCTCAAGGAGGCTGGCTGTATCTTACTGAGAGAAAAGTCACCCAGCACCATGCAGCCAGTAGTCTGTGTTCTCCTCTGCTGTGCCGGTCACTCCACATTTTTTGACAGAATTGGCAGAATTTTAAAACATTGTGTGCAGAACAGTAGGCCCAGCTGGTGGCTGGAAACCTGGGTAGGAGGGGCAGGTGGCTGGGATGCCCAGATCTTGAGGGTGCTGCAGCTCCCCTCACCTCCTACAGCCCTACTTCCTGCTTCTATGTCTGAAGTTAAATGAAGAGGTCAGAGCCCCCCACCAGGAAATGTGGGATGGATGGGGAAGGGCAGGGATAGTGTGGAGGTGGGGATTAGTCACATGGGAGGGTTATGTTTCCCCCAACACTGGTTGTCCCCTTTGTGTCTCTCCACAACTCATTACCCAATTTGTTACTAGCAACCCCATGAGAAGGACCTGAATTAGTGATGTTAAATATCGGTTAACTGAATAGTCGCGTAACCTCATGAATTTTTATCGGTTAGTCGACCATTCTATTGTCCAAGGGTGGGGCTGGCAGGCACTGCATCAGAGACAGCAGTGCAGGGTGCCAGGTGGGAGCTGGTCCACGGGGGGAGCCAGTTCCCCTTGTGGACAGGGTGCCTGTTGCCCAGTGCTGCTGCTTCTGATAAAGAGGCAGCAGCGTGGGGTGGCAGCAGCCCCTGTCTAAGTGGGGGTCTGAGCTCCTGGACCGAGTGAGCCAGAACTGAGCCAGGCTGCTAAAAAATTTACTGCCAAGGGTGGGGAGAGGGAAATGTGTGTAGTCTATAGCATTAACCTATAAGCTTTTGCTTATCAGTTAATCAACTACACTATTACATCCCTACATTGTACAGGGCACCGGCAACATGTCATCTGGGAAACTGTGTGCAGCTCTGGTCACCCATGGTCCAGAAAGAGAACTGTAAACTGGAAGAGCTGCAGAGAAGAGCCACTAGGTAATGGAAGGTCTGTTCTACAAGAGGAGACTAGCAGAGTGTGGCTTGTTTGGGGTAGCAAAAAAAAAAATGTTGCTTGGGGGAGGGGTATATATTCAGGAGGCTGAAAAGCTATTGAAGCAAAAGGGCCAGACTGGCCCAAGAACAAGTGTCTGTAAAGTTGCCCTGAACAACTTCAGGCTGGAAATTAGGTTTCTAACCATCAGAGGGGTGAGGTTCTGGAGGTTGTGAGGGGGCAAATAACTGCATTTAAGAGCAAGCTGGACAAATGTATGAGTGTCACTGTGTGAAGATGGTTGGTGATGGTGGGGGGAAGGGCTCAGCCACCCTGGGGCACACTTCCATTCCATGTAGAACATTCCTCACCCTCATGCTTTAGGGTTTCAGCCACAACTGGCAGGGGACAGGAAGGGACTCCTGCCAGTGTATTTTGAGACTTTTAAAAATCTCCTTCAGCTGTGACCATTCCTAAGCTTCAGAAGAAGACAACACTGGATGGGGTAAAGCAGTCCTGTGACATACAACTGATCGCTGTCTCTCTGTCAGTGGCTATGTCTAGGCTACAGGGTTTTTCCGGGAGAGGTATCCTAGAAAAACTCCACCACATTCATGGTACACATCTGCTCTACTGGTGTTGTGGGGGTTTTTTTGTGTGTGGAAAAGCAGACGCACTCTTTCGGAAGCCCTGTCTTCCCCCTCCCACGAGGAAGAAGGGCTCTTCCAAAAGAGGTTTTTTTTTCCAAAATTCAGCCCAATGTAGATGGGCCAAATTTCAGAAAAACCTCTTCTGAAAAAGCTATCGGAAAAAGGTATGCAAATTGCAGAGCACAATTTGCGTACCTTTTTCCAATAAAGCCCCGTAATGTAGACATAGCCAGGAGCTTGGCTGGCTGGTTCTTTCTCCCATATTCAGAGTCTAATTGATCATCACAAGTGAGATGTGGAAGTAATTTTCCCCTGGGCAAGACTGGCAGCAACCTACGGGAAGTGGGTTTCCATCTTCCCCTGCAGCATGGGGTATGGGCAGGGGTAACTGTTGAGGAGGATAATGGGAGGGCACCAGCCATGTGATGCTAACACACGGATTGGTTTGAAATCTCCCTAGACTCCTAAGAGCCATACACGTAACTGTGTTGCTCCCCAGCTCCAGGTGCAGCATGTCTAGAGGAAGGGGAGGATAGGAGAGGTGAGAATTCAGGCTCTCACGATTGTGGGGAGGTTCTCCCGGGTTATTAATCTAACTCAGGGGTCAGCGA